TGAACAGGGATGGCTTTTGCCTTTGTATCACTAATGCCCAGCTCACTGGAGGTGCCACCTTAATGTGAGCTGACAGGATAATTCCAATCCATTGCCCAATGTCAACATTTCTAACATTTTGCCATTTTCATATCTCTCCTTTATGTTCCCTTCTCTCCACCTACATGGCCACCACTCTAATTCAGTATCTTGCTATCACCTGGCTAGACTTTTTGCCTTCTAACTAGTTTTCCTGCGCTGTCTCCCTCTTTCCCCCCCCAATCCATACTCCACATAGCTGCCAAAGTGACTTTTCTGAAGCAAAGATCTGACCACCCTCTCCCTTGCTCAGTGAACTCCAGCGGCTCCCTATTACCTCCACCAGCAAATATTAACTTTGTTTGGCATTTAAAGCTCCTTCTTCCTTTTCCAGTCTTCTTACATTTTCCTCCTCCTCCATAAATTCTGTGACATAGCCATACTTGCAGACATCTCCTGTCTCCATGCCTGGAATGCTCTGTTCCCTAATCTCTGCCTTGTGGTTTTCCTGAAGTCCCTCCAGTCTCAGTTCAAATCCTACCTTTTGCAGTAGGTCTTTTCTGGTCTTCCCTCCTCACTCCCCTCGGCTGCTAATTAATGCCATTCTCTCTGCTATCTTTCATTTACTATGTATATGTTCCCTGTTATTTATATGTGGTCTCTGCCATTAGAATGTGAGTTCCTTGAGGACAGGTGTTTTCTCTCCATCTGTCTTTGTATCTCTAATCTCTGGCATATATTTAATCATTTTTCAGTCATGTCTGACTCCTATTGACCCCATTTGGGTTTTCTTGGCAGAGATACTAAAGTGATTTGCCATTTCCTTCTCCAGGTCATTTTTACAGATGAGGAAACTGAGGCAAACAAGATTAAGTGACTTGCCCAGAGTCACACAGTTAGTAAGTGTCTGAGGTCAGAATTGAACTCAGGAAGATAAGTCTTCCTGATTTTAGGTCTGGTGCTCTATCTACTGCACCACCTAGCTACTTCTCTCTGGCACATTGGTAATGCTAACTAAATGTTTTTTGACAAAATGACTATGACATAGTCATAATCCATTATATTCATGTACCAAAATTTGTTCAGCCATTCCCCGGTCAATAGGTACTTACTTTGTTTCCAGTTTTTTGCTACCACAAAAATTGCTTCTGTAAATATTTTGATAATCTAGGGTCTTTCCATTTTTAATGTATTTGGATAATATTCCTAGCAGTGGAATCTCTGAGACAGAGAATATGAACAATTATGTGATTTTTTTTTCACATAGTTCCAAACAGTTTCCCCAAGAAGGTTTGGATCAATTTATAGCTAATAAACATCAATTTATGGCTAATAAACATCAACAGCACGTTAATGTGCCTGTCTTTCCACAGCCCTGCCAACAATGACTGCTTCTACCTTTTATCATCTCTGCCATTCTAAAGGCATGAGATGTTAGGATTTATATTTCTTCAATTGGTGGTTTAGACAGTTTTTCATAGGCCTGCCGATCATTTTTATTGTTTCTTCTAAACCCTTTTTGTTTTGACCATTTAATGCCAGTGAATGGCTCTTGGTCTTAAGCCTAGTGTTTCCTGGCCCTGGAGTAAGGAGGACCTAAGTTCAAATCTAGCCTCAGATACTTACTAGCTGTGTAACCTTGGTTGAGTCATTTACCCTTATTTGCCTCGGTTTCCTTATCTGTAAAATGAGCTGGAGAAGGAAAAGGCGAACAGCTTCGATATCTCTGCCAAGAAAACTCCAAATGGGATCATGTCAGACATGGAGGGAGAGTCAGACATGACTCAACAACCCCAGATTTGTTGTCTTCTGAGCATATTGAGTTTCACAGTGAATCGCTTCCCTTGTTCTGGATACAGGACTACCTCTTCTCTGTTTTTACTGTTGGCTTGTTGAGTTGCGGGGTGTGAAGACCTGGCCAATGTGGGCTGTGATGTTTAGGCTCCTTTTAAAAGGCTCAATTATGGTGGTCTTGGGATCTTTGACCCAGGGTGGAAAGGGATCTCAGAAGCCATTTTTAGAGGTGAGGACATTGAGACCCAGAGAAATAAAGACTCCATCCTTCTGGAGCTAGGAGGAACCTTGGAGGCAACTAGAGGCTTCTCATTTTATAGATGAGGAAATTGAAGCCCAGAGAGTTTCAGCGACTTGCCCAGGATCACACAGCTAGTAAAAATCAAAGGCAGGATTTGGTCCTAGGGCATTCTGACTTCAATTCTTTCACTTTCACTAGTGTAATCCCACCAATTCTCAATGTTCACCCTTTGACCTCCAATCAGCACTGCATCCAAAATCTCCTGGGTCCTAAAACACCCTTCTAATCCAACTACTCCTTTTTCTCTGGGCCATTGCCACCCCCCCTTCTCATACCAACCTTCACCTTACCCTAGGAAGCATGGGTGGCCACATAGGCTCCGGGGAGGTCTTTGACCTAGGCAATGACCTTAGTCCTGGCCCTTGGAATAAGCCAGCTGACTAGCAGGCTGAGTGACTCAGCACCATTTGTTCTATGCATTCACAGCCGGGCAGAAACCCAGAGCGCTGAGATCTGAGCCTGGCATGGTGTCTTTTTCTTGGCATCAGGACCCTGATTCAGAACTTGGCTCTCAGCTGCTGCTGGAGGATTGGGGGAGGGAGGATTGGCAGGGAGGTGTTTTCTCCCTCTTTCGGGAATGTTCAGGACAGGGCTGCAGATAGGGGTGAGTGCATGAGATGAGGCTTCTGTGAGTGAGCCAGGGAATTGAAGGTTCAAAGATAAGGGGGTGGCTGATGATCCAGGTGCTGGCTCATCTTAGAAGGGGGTATTGATTTTTGTACTGTAATGCAGAGTTTGAGATGCACTCAGGGAGAGGCAGGAGGAGAAAAAACAGCTACTGATTCCCAGAATTTATTTTAAGCTACCTTAATTTGTTTCTTCCCTCCAAGGTCAGATCAAGTGATGTCTATGTATCACCTTCTGCACCTGGAGAGGCAGGGGGGCTGGATGGGATTGAAGATCTGGGGTGGGGGATCCTTGAATGGAGGTGGATTTCCAAAGAACATGGGGGAGGTAACTGGCACCACTCTATACCGGGATGGAACTGATTAGGCCAATTAAGTCCCTCTCCCTTGGGAGCTTTAAGCTCCCTTTACTAGGGCAGAGGTACTATAAGCTGTGGGCTTCATGGGGAGAGATGCCACCTCCATAGGAGAACTCAGCAAGAGGTGACTGGAACACTCTGTCCCAGCTTGAAACCTCTTAGGAGACCCTGGGCTCAAGATCCTAGAGGGTTACCCCACTGGGGCATGAATGACCTCCCTTTCTCTCAAGTTAGTTGGAGAATCCTGCAACATATTAGTGTCATATATTAAGAGCTGGAAAGGACCTGAGAGGTAGTCAGGTCTAACCTGTTTGTTTTACAGTTGGGGAAACCAAGGCACAGTAAGATCCGATGCCCTCATTTTATAAGTGAGGCCATTAGAGGTTGAATGACTTTCCCAGTAAAAATGGTAGAGCTAGAGTCTGGATCCAGTTCATCGGATAATAGATTCCTCTTGGGAAGCTCAGGTCCCAGAAAAGTGACTTGCCCAAGGTCAACTCACACAGATGTCAGAATCATAGATATATTTATTTTTGTCTAGAATCATAGATCTAGATATGGAAGAGACCTCGGAGGTCATCAGTTCCAACCTCCTTGTTTTATAGATGAGGAAACTGAGGCACAGAGACATTAAGTGGCTTGACCAGGGTCATACAGTTAATAAATGTCTGAGATGGGATTTGAACCCAGGTCTTTCTGACTTTAGGTACAGCACTATATCCACAGTACCGCATTACCTGACTTGTCCTTTACGGGCATTTGCTTGGCAGACAAAGTTGTCTCTGAAGTTCCCTGGACTTCTTTGGCTTGGATTTTTGGGGGCCAGGTAGAAGCTTGACAGGAAGAATCTCATTTATTGAGTAACATGAAGAATTAGAAACTTGGGAAGACTTTAATGAACAGATAGATCTGGAAGTGAGACCAGAACTATTTACAGCAGGACCAAAAATAACAGAAAGGAGAGTGACTTTGAAAGGTATCAAAACTCTAATCAGTCCAGTGACCAATTATGACCTCCAAAGATGGATGATCTTGGCAGAAAAGTGGTGGTGTACTGGGGCTGAATGGGGCATACGCTTTTAGATGAGACCAACGTGTCCATCTGGTTTGCTTGACTATACTTGTTTGTTAGAATGAAAGGTTCTATTGGAGGTGAGAGGAGGGGGGGGTCATTGAAGAAATGATAGCAATGGAAAAAATGAAGAAATCAAACACCTATTAAACATTTTAAATCACTTCACATGCGTAATTGATATCCTACTGCTTGCATTCTCAGTGGGTCGGGAGAAAGGTTGGAGTAAGGGAGAGAAGTTAGAACTCAAAATTTGAAAAAAAAATTGTAAAAATAAATTAATTAAAATTCAAAAATAAAAATAAAGCTGTTTATTTTCAGGCTCTTAAAAATGCAGTGGCATCAAAACTTCAGGAACGTGAAGACAGAAAGCAGCTTGTGAATTCATGTTTGGCCTGAGGAGTTAGAGGCAGGCAGGCCCTCTTCAGATATTTGAATGTGGAAAAGAGATTAGATTTGTTTTCTCTGGCCCTAGAGGGCAGAACCAAAAGTGACGGGTGGAAGTGGTAAAGAGGCAAAAGTAGGCTTGAAGTCAGGGCAAAACTTCCTACCCATTAGAGGTGTCCAACATAGAATGGGCTGATTCCAGAGGCGGTTGCTTTTTGGACAGCAAGTTGTCATCACCTCCCTCAGGGCGTAGCCCAGGTCACCCCACCCTAGTTACAATACCCCTAGATACAAAGCACAGTTCCTACCTGCTCCACCTGAATGAATCAATTGACACTTCTTTTCCTTTTCCTTCCCAGCTCTTGCCAAATCCCAACCCTCAACATTAGATCAGAATCTAGGAAAGGCATGAGGACACGTGGCTAAGAAGATCAATTTCTTTTTATTATTCATAAAGTTATTTTCCCCTCAAACAAGAGCACAACTGGAAAAAAAACAACAAAACAAAATCCAGCACAATACAGAAATGTTCCCACCCAAGCACATGACATTGTCACATTGTGGAAAGTTCCCAGCCTGTCTTTGTCAGTTCTGTCTGTCTGGCTGGTACTTGGTTCCTGGCAGCTCCGGAGAGCAAGATCCAAACCTGGCAATTCCCTCTTGGGAAAACCTGGACCTGGAAAAAAAATGGGGGGGGGGACTAGACAGAGGAGGGGGTCAAAGATAGAGTTAGCCAGCAAATGACTAGAGGGGGTCCTAAAATCCCCCATTCAGGCCCATCTCCATAAATATCTAATTAACTTAAAGCAAATATGAACAAAAAAAAAGGCACCCCCTACTTAGGTCTGATATACAAATAAACACTTAATGCATGTAAGACCTCTAAAAAATTATCTTTGTGAGGCTGGGGGATGGCAAGTGGCCTGTAGGGACACAGAAGGGACAAGTGAGCAGCCAGGGAATAAGCCCTTGGGATTTTTCTGGGCTTGGCTTTGGGTCGTGGGAAAAGGGGTACAAGGTTTGGGAGCAAGCAGCTGCGCTGTTGTCACTGGCCGGCCCAGTGTGGTGCAGGGCCGGCTCTCTGCACTGGGAGAAGCTGAGGGCCAGACCTCCTCAGGACAGGGCAGGACAGGAATCAGTAGGTAGGCACTCTGGGTAAGGATGCTTCCAGATGGGAGGCCCACTCAATCGCAAAAGCAGAAAAACAATCTTCTCTATCCAACATACATCTCTATTGAGCTAATGTAATTGCATCTGGAATCAGAGAGAAATCTCTTGGGTCTGGGGGAGGGAAAGGAGAGGAAGAGAAGGAGAACTCTTCTTCTGCAGGCCTCTTCAAGCACAGGTGACTTCGTGGTTGTCCATGGGCAGCTCATTACCTAAGCTGCTGTCTCCAAATGCAGAGTAAGGAGGCACCTGGGGGGCTTCGATGATCAGCAGACCCTCAGGGGAGAGGGAAGCAAATACTGTCACGGGGTCCACCTCAGCGGGGAGTCTAGGAGGAAAAACACGGAACTGAATGGATCTGGCTTCAAGGGACTGCCTGGAGAGGGTGGAAGGAGCCTGGGGCTGAAGTCAGGAAAGATCTGGGTTCGAGTCCTGCCACTGACACTGGCTAGCTATGTGACCCTTGGGCAAATCATTCATCGGCTCGGGGCCTCATTTTTCTCATCTGTACAATGAGGGGATGGAATGATTGGCCTTCAAGGTCCTTTGTGTTCCCTTGGTTCTCAAGGACAGGGCCTATTTGTCATCTTCATGTCCCCCCAGGCCAAGTGCAAGGTCTTGCAAGGTGTTTAATCAATGCTTGGATGAGGAAAATTTCTTTTTCCTTCCCAGTATTGACCCATTTCCACTATAACCTAGAGAAAATAGTTCCAGAGCTGGGTCCATTGGCAAGGCCCCTTTATATGGAAGGAGTTTTAAAAATATATGTGTGTATGTGTGTGTGTGTTGTGTACATGTGTGTATATATATATGTATCTGAATATATGTATTGTGTATGTGTATATATGTGTGTTGTGTATGTGTGTACATATGGGTGTGTGTCTATACATACAAATACATATGCATACATATATACATATACACACCAAGTGATTAAAGCAAAGCCGTTTTTCTTGTTCCGTGAGCTGGGTCATCCCCAGGTGACACCCTAGCTGATGTCTCTGCAGAAGATATTAGCAAGGGAAAGGAGATCCAGAAGAGATAAGGAGAAGCCTGGGCAGGGGGCCAAGGGAGCACTTTTTTTTTAACACCCATCTGAAGAGAGCTCCCAAACCAAGATATCGTGCTATAAGGGGTGGTCTGTTAGTCTACTGAACCACTTAGGGGCAAGCCAAAGTGGCGATTTGTGTAGCTACAAGACCTGGCCATCGGTAGCTTGTCGAGAGATGCTCACGCTTGGGCAGAGGTGCCATGACATTTTTAGGAAAGCGGCACCAAAGTGAAAAGAGATGGGGCTCTGAGATGACAATAGGAGAACGGGAGAGTGAGAGAGAGAGAGAGAGAGAGACGCTTCTGGTCCCCCAGTTTCAGCCCTGCCATTCCATCCTGTGGGAGCGCAGCAGTCTGAGCCTGCCAGATGGCTCCAAGATTGCCATCTTGTTGAGGTACTTTTTCAACAAAGTCATTTTCTGAGGACAATTTGCATGGGAAAATCAATTGAATTGGCAGCTTTTTAAAGATAGTTTCTCTCTTTCTCCCCTCTCCTCCACCCCATCTTTTTTTCCTCCCCCCCCAGAGGGTTTGTCTTTAATCCTTGGAGGTTTTTCATCAATCTCCTCTCCAGACTTCAGTTATCTCTCTCTCCATTTTCCCTTCATTTGCCCTATGGGGACACATTTCATCTGATCTCAGTCTCTAGTGAGAGAGGCACAGGGGGACTGAGGCCGAATGAGCCACAAAGCCTTTGTTTGTTTGGAGCTTTATCAAATTCTGAGTTTTAAAAGGAGAAGGAGGAGGTGAAGGCAGCATAAAGTTATTAGGAGCCTGCATGGGGAGAGATGAAAGAGAGAGGAAGAGAGAGAGAAGGAGGGAAAGAGAGAGAGGGAGAGAGAAGGGGAGGGAGAGAGAAAGGGAGAGAGAGACAGAGAGAGATAGAGGGGTAGGGGAGAGAGTGAGAGAGACAGACAGAAAGACAGAGGGGGGAGAGAGAGAAAGAGAGGGGGGCAAAGACAGAAAAACAGAAAAAGACAGAGAGAAGAGAGACAGACAAGCAGAGAGTTAGAGACAGACTGAGAGATACACATAGAGAGACTCAGAGAGAGAGACAGAAAGACACAGAAAGAGATACGAACGCACACACAAGGAGAGAGAGACAATGTTTACCATGGTGCATGGAACACGTAGGCACTTAATGCTATGGAAAGAGTGGTTTTCAGTTTCCTTAGTTCTAAGTATATGTCTGTATGTGTTTGGGGGTGCCAGGGGTAAGGGACTTGGTGGGGTTTGAGCTGTTGAGATTAAGTCCTTGAAAAGTTTTGAGTGGTGTGTGTGTGTGTGTGTGTGGTGGTGGTGGTTGGGGTTAGGGCTGGTGAAGGGAGAAATGCATAATAGGGGGAGGGGATGCTTGGCCGCCCTCTCCTTTTGCTAGACACCCCCCACTCCAGTTGAATGTTTCGATGCCACAGAGAAGGGATCACTTCGTCAACAGCTTAGGGAGCCCTTGGTCAAAGCCTGAACTTGGCAGCCGAGATCGGAAGCTGAAGGTCTGAACAAATCTGGAGACACTCAGTTTGGTGCCGTGTATTTGTACAGCATTTAGAGCCGGAAGGTACCTGGTAACTGAGGCCCAGAGAGGAGACAGGACTTAAAAGTAGTAATTAGAAGAGCTGGAATATGAACCTAGTTCTTTTTACTGCAAAACCAAAGTTCTTTTTCTATCATTAAAGAATCTTTCAACTCCTGAGGATTTGTATATTTTTCCCAAGAACACAGAGTGAGGAGATAAAGACAAAAAGAGGGAACGAGAGAGTGGAGAAAAGGAGAGACTGAAGTTCAAATTCTGTCCCAAATACTTCCTAGCTGTGTGACCTTGGGCAAGTCACTTAACTGTCTGCCTCACTTTCTTCATTTGTAAAATGGGATAGCACCTCCCTTTTAGGGTTGTGGTGAGGATCGGATGAGTAATGTTCAAAAAGGGCTTGGCAAACATTAAAACACAATATAAATGCTAACCATTATTAGCTATTATTGTTCCTGGAAGCCCAGCATGTAGATGGTCGCCTTACCCTGTCCTAGGCTTTGGTGGCTGCTTTAGCACAGGCCTGCACAACCCGTGGCCCGAGGGCTGCTTGCCTCGCACAAAGGATTTCAAGTGGCCCTGGAAGAATGTGGAGGATGGCAAGTGGCCTGCGGGCTGTGGGTTGTGCAGGCCTGCCCCAGCACCTGACTCTGGAGAATGTTGTGGAGGGGTCCAGTAGCTTCAGCCCTTGGATATATGCAGATCACCCACTGCTGCCCTCCAACCAGGTTCCCCTGGGTCTGGGCTTCTCCGAATTTCTTTGCTCTCTGCCCTGCTCTTCCCATCTGGGTCCTTGAATATTGTGTTTCAGACCTGGAATGTTTACCACTCTCCTAACCCGCTTTCCAGGTGCCAGCCATCAGCTGCTCTGCCCATTCGTGTCTTGGGGGCCATAATCTGCTGGAGAAACATGCCCAGACTGGCCCCCTATTCATGGAGCAGGGCCCCTTAAGCCTCAAAGATAGATCCCCTCGCAGAGAAAGAGCTGAGAGAACAGTTTACTTCGAATTCCTGATCTCCAAAGAGACCTCTATTACCTCGCAGTCGTGGGAGTATCGTGCTCTGAGAATTTACAAAGCTCTTTCCCATGCATTCCTCCTTTAGATCCTCACCTCAGCTCTCTGAAGTGGATGGGGCAGGGTTTATTATCCTCATTTTAGGGAAGAAGCTAAAGCCGAGGGTCCCAGGATTTATACCTGCAAGGGTTCTTAAGGTTTCTTAAGAAGCCCTTTACTTTACAGATAGGAAACTGAGGCTCAGCGAGGCAGTCTCATAGCATCATAGAGTTGGAGCTGGAAGGGACCTCAAAGCCTTTCTAGTCCAACCCCTTCATTTTACAAATGAGGAAACTGAGGCTCAGAGAGGCTAAATGACTTACCTAGGATCACACTCTAAGTTCCTGAAGCAAGATTCGAACCCAAGTCTTCCTGACTCCAAGTCTGACGCTTATCCACCATGCCATCTAGCTGATCAACAAAATAGCCGTTTGACCCTGGACAGGTGAGGAAGATGGCCCCGGAGAGTCTTTCTAGCTCTAAAGTTATGACCTGTAGTTCCCTGGGTTGACATTACATGGAAAACTCTCTAGGTCCCTTGCCATCCTCTGGATGCACCCCCAGCTTCTCCAAGACTTTCCTGAATACCACTCTCAGATCTGTGATCCGTCCAGCGCAGAGGACAGAAAGACTGTCAGCTCTCCTCATTCAGGACGTATTGTACCCAGGCTAAAGAGACTACCTCATCTCTGGATTTTCTTTTCCTGTGACTAACAGAGCTGTGGCTGGAAACCCAAGGCTTCTAATGATACTTGGGAAGCTATTTCTTTCTGCTATACTCAGAACAACTTGAATCTGGGACTATCCCACAGAACACACCAAAACCCCTTGGCAGATACATACTGGATTTTCTTTGTGAAGTTTTTGGAAACAATTCCCCCTTCTTGTTGCTTTTCTTCATGTCTGCCTAGAGGAGAGAAAAATACAACTTGTCAGTGTGCCCAGAGAATCATCATTCAGAAGACTAGGGAGGCCTCTCCTTGCCCGAGGCTTTGGGAATCAGCAGAGATCTCGTTTTGGGTTTTTTTTTCCTGATTACCCCATTTCCCACTAGCAGGCATATGAAGTCAGCAGAGCTGTGATAAGAACCTATTTGGCAACATGTCTTCCACTTCTCCATTCCCCGACCCCCATGGTGCCTAGACACATGCCTCACAAATAGCAGGTAGGTGATGAAAACTCATTGGGAAAGATAAGCAATCAATAGATGGAAAAATGAGTCTACGTGGCTACATGGAAAGAATACTGGCTATGGAGTCAGATGCTGGTTCAAATTCTGCCTCTGACGCTTACTATTATCTGCGTGTCTTTGTTAAACAAATGACAAGGGCCTTGGGTATCCCCATCTGCAAAATGAAGGGGATTGGATTAGGTGACCTCTGCAGTGCCTTCCAGCCCTAGAATGATCCCAGGGTTCTTTTTTATTAATTAATTAATTAATTAATTTACTTTTAGTTTTCAACATTCACTTTAAAATTTTTTTTTTATTTTATTAAACTTTTTTTCAAGGCAGTTGGGGTTAAGTGACTTGCCCAGGGTCACACAGAACATTCACTTCTATAAGATTTTGAGTTCTATATTTCACCCCCTCCCCAAGACGGTGTGCAATCTGATATAGGCTATACATGTACAATCATATTAAACATATTTCCACATTAGTCGTGTTGTGAAAGAAGAATCAGAACAAAAGGGAAAAACCACAAGAAAGAAAAAAAAGGGGGGCAGCAAGGTGGCGCAGTGGATAGAGCACCAGCCTTGAAATCGGGAGGACCTGAGTTCAAATCCGACCTTAGACAAGACACTTGACACTTACTAGCTGTGTGACCCTGGGCAAGTCACTTAACCCCAATTGCCTAAAAATTAAAAAATAGAAAAAAAAGAGAAAATAGTCTGCTTTGATCTGCATTCAGACTCCATAGTTCTTTCTCCGAGTGTGGATGGCATTTTCCATCACAAATATTTCAGAATTATCTTAGATCATTGCATTACTGAGAAGAGCTAAATCTATCAAATTGGTCATCAGGATCCTAGGATTCTAAATAGATGTGGTCAGACCACAACTGGAGTATTGTGCTCAATCCTGAGCTGTATATCCTTAGAATAGCATTTGTGTAAAAGCAGGAGTGTGAACAGAGGAAAGCAACCTGGATGATGATGGACATGGATGGGCGTGGAAAATCCTTTGTGGATTTTCAGGACACCCCTCTGCCCTGGTTCTCCTATCTCTCGGACCACTGCTTCCTGGATTTGTTTACTCAGCTCCTTGTATTCTGTAAGCCAGCAACATTGGCCTGCCTGTAGCTCTTGGAACACAACACTACCACCTCCAACCTCCATGTTTTCACACTGGCCATCCTCCATGCCTTTCTCATATCTGATTCTTAATTTCTCTGGCTTTTTTCAAGACTCAGCTCAGACCCTGCTTTCTATAGGAGATATTTCTCTTTCCTTCACCTCCCCCCCACCTCACTCATCTCTGGGACAGGAGTTTTTAGCCTGGGGTCCATTAACCTGTTTATTTGTAAAGATATTTTGATAATTTTATTTGACTATAATTGGTTTCCTTTGTAATACTTTCTTTTTTGAAATGTATGCATTTAAGAACAGCATTCTTAGATGGGTTACATGGGCTTCACCAGACTGCCAAAGGGGAAGGGAGTCTATGCTTCAAAACAAGTTAAGAACCCTTGCTGTAGATGGTAAGCTTCATGAGGACAGGGCCTAAATCTTTTCTGTCTTTGTACACCCAGGTCCCAGCACAGAGTCTGGCACATTGTTGGCATTTAATAAATTAACTGATTAACTAGTAGCCTGCATTTACTTTATTGTATATAGGCTGTTTGCCCCTAGAAGAATGTAAGCTCCCTGAATGCAGGCTTTGTTTCATTTTAATCTTTGTACCTTCAGTACCTTGAACAGCGCCTGGTATCTGGCGTGCTCTTGATAAATGCTTACTTCAATGACTGATTGAAGAAGGTGGATATTTGTATAACCAACAGGAAGGAGCCCCTCTTTTTGGCTGAGGGGAGTGGATCAGGAGAGAGGGAGAATTCCATTGGTCAGATCATTAAAGACAACTACATGGGCCACAGAATAATGAGCCTGTTAAGATGTGGAGGCCTGCAATTCCAGGAGAACCAAGAGATCATGGCTGGGAGTCACCATCTTGTCCACTTGGGCATCCCTGTAAAATTAGAGGCTTATACCAGCCCAGCTGGCAGATCCCTGCCAGACTGACTGTGTGACCCTGGGCAAGTCATTGAAACTCTTAGTGCCCCAGGTATATCTTTAGGACTACAAACTGGAAAGCAATTGGTGAATTGGAAGTGCATGAACAGAGGGAGTCCTATCATAATAATAATAATAATAATAATAATATTAATAATGATAATGATAGCACTTACATAGTGATTCAAGGTTTGCAAAGTGACTTACATATGTTATTTCACTGACCCTACTGAGGTAGGCATGAAAATTATCCCCATTTTACAGATGAGGAAACTGAAATTAGCAGAGGTTAAGTGACTTGTCTGGGGTCACACTGCTAATAAATGTCTGAGGCAGGACTGGAACTAGGGCTTTCCTGATTCCAAGTCCAGAACTCTTATCTACTGTTTAACCTATGAAATTATAGGTCCTCTTTCCCCTCACTACCCTCCCCTTACCCTCCCCCCCAAAAAAATAATCGTTGGTTGAATAGACGACTTATACTTTTAAAGTTTGCAATGTATGATATATACATTATTTACATATATTCTTCTTTCAGACCACCATCTATCTTCTCTGTATGTAATTTATCTTGTATATAACTTTTGTTATTTACATGTTGTTTCCCCAATAGATTATAAGCTCCCTGAGGGCAGAGACTGGTCTTTTGTTTGATTGCTTATTTATTTGTTTGCTTTTGCCTTGTGTCTTCAGTAGTTTAAGGTGCCTGGCACATAGCTAGTCCTTCATAAATGTTTACTGACTGACCACATTATCTTGTTGGAGTCCTACAAAAACCTGGTGAGTGTTTTTAATCCTGAGTTTACAGGTGAAGTCACTAAGGTTTAGAGATTTGCCTGAACTAGAGTGCTGGATTTGGAGATGGAGGATCCTGGTTCAAATCCCGATATGGCCACTTTATGACCTACATAACCATGGACAAGTCACCTCACCAATCTGGGCCTCAGTTTCCTAGGCTGTAAAATGAGCATGAGGGATAAGGCAATCTCTGAGATCCCTTCCAACACCAAATCTAGGGTCCTGTGAACACTTATTACCTCTGACCTTGCTCATATGTAAAATGAGGGTGTTCTAAGGTCCCTGTTAGCCTGAAATCTATGGTCCAACAATCCACATTGCCAGTAGATATTAGAGGTGGATTGGAACCCTGAACTCCCAAATTCCATTGCCTAAAAAAATTCCACACTATCTTTCTATCCCATTTGCCATCTGATGCCATCCTTGATGCCGAAGATGACATGGAAAGTGAGTTTTTTTCTGGTATCCAAGGGCCAGAATTGCCTGGGAAGCTGTGACCTGCCCCTGCCAAAAATATATTCTAAGCTTAGGCTGTTGTGGGGTGAGAGGGATGGTCCCTGTTAGTGAACAGGTGGGAGGCTCTTGTAGGCGCCAAGGGAAGGGCCGCACTCTGCCAAGGAGCCAGGCCAACCCTGCCACCCACGCCTAGGAGCAAAGGCGCCCACAGATCCACCCAGCACACGGATGGAACATTTTTAACCGTGGCCCAGTTTGAACGCCCAGAGTTATTTTCTGCTTTTGCCATGTTAGGGCCTCTCTGTGCCAAACTTTTCAGCCAATGTGGTTGGCACAGCTGCCCTTCTGCAGTGCCTCTAACATGGGCCATCGTCACATGCTGCTCATTAACAGATAACCCAAGGCTGGAGGGAGGGTCCACTGATGACTCAACTTCATTCCTCTCTGTTCCTCAACTAGAAAATGGCGTCCTGGCCATCCCTCAAATGAGCCTCTCACCAGGAGAGGCTTGTCTGTGTAACCTTGGACAATCTGCCTTGGTCTCAGTTTTCCCATCTGTAAAATGCAGGGGGATGGGCTAGCTGGTCTCCATAGCCATTCCAATTCTGTATCTATGAATTTATGAATCTGAAGCCTGGCCCAGTGGAAAGAGGAGTGGACAGAGAGACAGGAGAGACTCAGTTTCCATTCTGGGCTCCTTAACATGGTGGGAGGTCTCTCAGGAGGTAGTGTAGCTCAATGGATGGAGCACTGGGCCTCGAATTAGAAGACCAGAGTTTTAGTCCAGACTTTGACATGCCAACTGCATAAACCTAAGGCAAGTCAAGATGTCCTCTCCTTTTGGCCCAGGTTTCAAATTTCTTCTCCATCTTGGTATTTATCAGAAGCCTTATCAGTGAGCCTCAGCTTCCTGATCTGTGAAATGGGAATGATAATGCTTATATGACCTACCCCATGGGATTCTTGACATGACAGAGCTTTGTAAATCCTATAGTTATTGTAAAAGTGTAGATTTTATCCTTCTTCTCACTGACCTCACAGGATTGTAGTAAAGATCAAAGGAGATAATGTAGGTGAAAAATAAATTTTTTTAGCCTATAAAGCATTTTAACCTGTTTCCTCTTCTATAAATTGAAAGGATAAGACTGATTGTTCCAAAAAGTCCCCCCTAGCCCTGACATTCCCTGCTCTGAGGCCCCTCCCAGTCCTGATAGCCTCTGTTCTAAGACCCCTCCCAGCTCTGCCATCCACTGTTCTAAGGCCTCTCCCAGCTCTGACATTCTAGGATCTTTTGAAATACAAGCTCTTGTTATTTTTGGCCAGGCCTTTAGATTCAGAAGGCAAAAGAAAATAAGTATTAACCCTGAGCTAGTCTCTGAAAGTTGCTTTTTTTCACCTGTTCACTCATTGAAAGTATTAATACAT